CTCGGCTCCGAGGCCCCTCAGACGCACCTGCGCTGGAATGTGGGCCTGCAGCGTCGCGCCCTCAATCGGCGCCACCGACTGGGCGAATATGCTCATGATCCTGGAACAGACGCCAAAGTCGAGCACGCGCCCGCCACGCGTCAGAGCCGAAGGCGGCAGCAGCACACCCCCTGCCTTGGCCATCCACTCGACCGGGACATCTGGCCCCATGTTCAAGTCGCCCAGGACGACCCATGGCCCTGGAAACGAGCCAACATGCTCCAGCAACTGACTGAGGATCAGAACGTTCTCTCTCGCTAGACCGATCCCCGCCACGAGGTAGAGGCCGATCGCGCGGAGCGGCACAAGGATACCGACGTTGAGTCTCACCGCTTCGGACCTGTGAGCGGGGAGCTTCTCACGCACCAGTCCTGGATCCCTCATGGCCGCCAGGCTGCTCGGGGCGGTTCCGCCCCCGTCGGGGTGGAGCACGCCCTCGCCCGTCGATTCAGCTGCCCGCCCGAACCAGCTGAAGGATCGCCGCTCCGCCCAACGCTTCGCTGAGCCCAGCGCGATGTCGCTGTTGAGCCTGCGCTCCTGCATGCAGACCACGCCCGGCCAAGTGCGCCCAGGACTCTCCTGCGCCCACTCCAGCAACGTTGGCCGTCCACAAACAGATGTCGCGCTTGCCAATCGGCGCCGGCCCTGCCAGCGCCCAGTCTCGTTCGCCTCGATGCGCCGCGGCCCACCCGGAGGCGCGAGCCCCCCGACTCAATGCGGAGGGCCGAAGCTCACGTCGACACTGAAGGGCCGCCTCCCAACAGGTGGCCGTGACCATGGCCCGGGGCTCGTGCCCCCACGCGTCACCGCCAGCCCGAACTCCCTCCGCAAGCCGCCTGCTATCCATGCCTGGCCTTCTTGGCGTGGGAGCCCAGGCTCTCGCGCAGCCGCTTGCACTTGTCGGGGCCGGCGATGTCGCAACCTGCTGAGGCGAATGCTCGGCGCAGCTCTTCATCTGAACTCGTCGAACTGAAGAGACTGAGAGCCGCCAGCAGCCCCTGCTGCGCCGCCAGCAGGAGCATCACCTTCATCCGCGTGTGGTGCCCATCGGCTCGGGGATCTTGGAGTCGAGCTCCTTCTTCTTAGCCGCTGCAGCTTTGCGGGCGGCGTCGGTGTTGATGCCGAATATGTCCCCGTACTTCTGCAGACACTTCTCCAAAACGTCTAGCATCGCGATCTCATGCTGGGGCTCGACCGTCCCTTCAGGTGGATCTGGGAGTACGTCGGCCGCCTTGGCTCGCTGGACGTGGGATTCCAGCTCCTTTAAAGATCCACGATGCTGGGCCAGCTGGGCGGACTCCTCCTCGAAGGCCTTCTGAGCCTGTTGCAGAGCCTCTTGCGCAGCTGCCACTCGTCCTGTGGCCGCCTCCACCTGCTTCTCCTTACGCCGCTTCCTCCGAAGCAGGTCCTGCAGCCCCTTCGTAGCCAGGCCCACGGGCTTCTCATGGTTCTGACGAAGGGCCTGCTCCACATCTGATGACAGCTGTCCTGCAACTCCCTTAGCTTGAAGAAGCTTGACCAGCTGCTCGACTGAAAGCGAAGAGGGATCAGCGCCGCCGCCGCCGCATGCAGACCCACGAGGGGGGGGTCCGCTGGCCCAACGCCCGCGCGGCGGGGCTTGCCATCCTGGCATGCGCTCACGCTGTTGTTGCTCACGGTGGCTCTTCTGCTGAGCGAGAATCGGTTGACGCGCGATGGTTTCACACTCCGTGCATGCACTGCGGAAGTGATAGTTGAGGAAGCTGCACCCTCGAGATGGCCCTAAAATGGCCCTATGATGGCCCAGATGGCCCAAGATGGCCCAAGAGGCCTCCAAGAGGGCCTCCAGGAAGGGCCGAAAAGGCCAAAATCATTGATTTCCCAAAGAGTTGTTGAGGGAGTGTGGCATTTGTTTTTGTTTCGGCCTTCCAACGGCCCGAGACGGCCCAAAGGACCCCAAAGATCGCCCAAGAGGTCTCCAGCATGGCCCCAGAAAGGCCCAAGAGGCCCCCAAGGCGGCCCCAAGAGGCCCCCAAGACGGCCCAGGAGGCCTCCAAGACGCTCAAGATGGCCTCCAAAACGGCCCTGGAGCACCCCAAGAAAAGGCCGAAGTCGGCCCAGCCTCGCCCAACGTGTTCTCCGAACGCTTTCTACTCCGATTCGGGGAACACATGGTTCGATAGCTTGGCAGGTTTCTGGCCACAACGTTCGGCCACATATCCGTTTCCACAAGGCAGGGGGCGGCGGTGACTGGCCGTAGGCGTCTTCGATACAAATGCAAGCATAGCTCACGCACCGGTTGATCTGGAATGGTACTATTCATAATGAGGATGCGCGATGGGAGATCGGGTGCGAATGAGGGAGACCGACTGCGCCGTTGTCGCTGGGGCCTGTGTCAGTACCCCTTCTGGATATACACCCCCTGCTCTACCCGACCAACGAACAAACCCGGGGCTATGTGGGCATTGTGCGCGGTTTGGGGGACATCTCGCGCTTTGAACTTCCCGACGCTCGTAGAGGACCCGCATTGCCCCCACGACAGCCCCATGACGGAAGCTGCGATCTCCACGACGCCCAAGACCAACTCAAAAGAGAACCAGCCACAGGACCCGATCGGACACCCCGAACCCTCGGCACCAAGAAGACCACAGGAGATCCCACAAAAAACCCAACAAGGCTAACACAAGACCCCCACCGGACGGCATCTACTACACCCCCAAAAGGTCGGCTGTGCGGCGCAAGCTCGAGAATCATCATCACAATCATCAACATAATATTACAGCGTCATCAGCATCATCCGCATCAGCATAATCAACGTAACCATCAGCAACATCATTTTCAGCAGCAGGAACACCGACATGATCATCATCATCATCATCATCATCATCATCAGCATCACCCCTCATCACTATCAGACGCACCATCATCATCAGAATCTGCACCATCGGCATCAACACCATAATCAGCAACATAATCACCATCATCAGCGTCATCACCAGCATCACCAGCATTGGCATCATCATCATCATTATCAGCGACATCATCGTCGTCAGTATCCTCATCATCCGAATCACCATCATCATCCCCATCATCATCATCATCACCATCATCATCATCACCATCATCATCATCAACAACAACATCATCATCATCCGCCTGTTCCTCCTCGCGTATCCATCCTCCCCTGTTCTTTCCTCCTCCTCCTGCTTCTCCTCCTCCTCATCATCATACCCCTCCTCCTCCGATTCCTCCTGCATCATCCCCCTGTTGGGCCATAGCGTCTTACACAACCGTCTATCCCACTGCATGCATGCCCCTCCATATCCCTGATCAGGGCAACTGGCCTGTGCATCGTTGGTGGATGGGCTGGTGGGTTATTCCTTTTGTCAGCTGCCGCGGGCGAGCGCGCCAACGGCGAGTCAGGTCAAAGCGGGCTACGCAGAGACTAATTAGGCAGAGGCGGCGGGAAGGGCTACAACTAACGCGGCAAGCCGAGGCCTCACGCACCGGCCCAGCGGCGGGCGATGGCGGGAGGAACTGAAACTGAGCGGAACTGCCGGCGTGCAAAGATGCAGATACGTCGAAGGCGCCCGGAAGTCTGGATGTAAGCGACGACCAGGGACCCCGAGAATTAATGCATGAGACCGAACCTCAGACAGCTGCATGGACACAAGGGTGGCCGCGGCCAGCGAGGCTGGTGGGCTACTTTTTGGTCGGCGGTTCCGAGGCAACGGACAGGGAGCGGAAGCGGCGTCCGGGTCACGGTACGGGGCGAATTCGCAAAGAATGCGTGGTGTGCACATGCACTGAGCAAAATGATCCGCATTAAGGCGAACGCACCTAGGCGCCAGCCACACCGAAGTGAAGCAAACCGCAATGCAGTGCAACGGAGAAGTCGCCCTGTCGGCGCCAAGCTCAGAGCAGCTCACCTAGCCGAAAGCGGGCAGGTAGAACCGAAGCGACACGCTGAAGGCTGAACCACTCAGCGCGAAGTCCGTACCACCGCCGTACGCGGGGTCGGCTAAGACAGGGGCAGAGGAACGGCAGGGACCTACAGAGCTCTCACTCCACGATCCACACCGCTGCCCGGGGGGGGGCTGGTGTGTCAGCCATCGCTTCCGAAACCAGTCACAGGCCAGGAAACTGGTGGGTTACGCGAAGCGTCTAGAATATACGTCATGCTGAAGTGTCAGTGGCTGGTTACATCTTACCAATGGTTGGCTGGGGAAGTTTGAACACACATTGCCGTTCAGCTGTGCCAATCCAATTCGATCACCTTGCCGTCGCACGTTCGTTTTGCATTCAACTGGATGGTCACATGTTCGTGGCAGTCTACGAGCACACTGCATGCTGCTCGTGGCTGGCCGTAACGCCAAACGTCGAGGGTGAGGCAAGATCTTTGCAATTCACGTGCGCGTAGGCAAGTCCTCACACGGCTGGCGACCCCGAAGTCTAGCGTGTCTCGTCCCGTGTCTGTCCTCCTCGTTCCGCAGACACGTCTCCATGTAGCAAGAAGTGTTGCGGCAAGCGAGCAAGATCTCGTTGTGTCATCCATTTACGAATCGTAGGCAGCATAATCCAGCATAATCATCCTCCTCGCCCTCCTCCTCATCCTCCTCCTCCGCCTCCTTGGCGGGCTTTTTCGACGTTCGCCTCTGGCCTAAACAGTGCTAGAGTGCTGAGGCGAGCCCTCGCGATGTCCCCTAATGAGGGTTTCGCGTCAGCCCGGAGGTATCCCTATGCAGGGCCCCACAGACTGTCCTGTCCCGTCAGTGGTTCACGAACGCCTGTCCCGCAATCTGCAAGTTTGGGGCTCCTCAGTCGTCGTTTTTAGCCTGAGGCACTCTACCGGACCATTGCTTGCTGCTGCTCTGCACTGCTCCTGCACCTGCCCGCCTCCCCCCGTCGGGTGTTGCCAGAACTGGCCATCGCTCGGACGCCCACCCTCCGTGCACCCTTCAGCTTCGTGCGTGCACATCCTCGCAGGACGACTCAAAATGCTCCTCGATGGTCCTCGCCGGGAAAACTGCAGAAAACCGAGCGATGCGAAGGAGGTGGTCCTGGCCCACGTCGCTCCCAGCTTCTCGCGCCATTTGGCGGCCCCTGGCCCTCGTGAGGGGTGCCCTTTGGGAGCTGGGGGGCGCCACGGGCCAGGGCCACCTCTAGCAACGTTTGAGCCTGCGGCTCGATCAATGCAGTATTTCTCACTGTCGCTTTGTGTTCGCTTTCCCCATCCAATCCGCCTCTGCTGCAAAACGGAATCGAAACGAACACGGCCCAAGAAATCGCCAAAGCACCGTTCCGGTCGAGCCCTGGGCCCCACAAGCGGTCGGGCAAACGGCGGGACGCACCCGTTGCGAATGGAAGCACAGGGGCGCAGGCGGGCGAGAGGCGCGGAGAAGAAGGCCCGAGAACCCTCAGGCCGTGCAGGCCTTCGGGAAGTGCCTGGGCGCACCGCCCGCCAGCCGCCCCCATCGCCCCCCTCCGCCCTTCTGCCCCTCTCCCCCCGCCCCCTCCCTGCCCACGCCTGGCCGCCCGCGGACTCCTCCCCGCCCGCTTCCCCCGCCCCGCCGCCTGCCAACCGTGGCCGCCGCCTCGTCCTGCACGCCTGCCTCTCGGGCGACGCCAGCCTACCGCCACCGCGCTGCCATAGAGAGCGCCGAATGAGAGGCGAAAATGCTGTTCTCGCCACGGCGATCCTCGACCGCGCATGCGCACGACGACCCGGACCTCTGGAATGGCCCGAAAGCCACAGCCCCCCTCCCGAGACCCGAGTGGTCCTTCTTTCAGCGCCTTCACTCCAAACCACCTGGCTTCGCGCATCGCGCCCCGCGGTGCGCGACGCGCGACCACCTTCGCTCGTTCGCGCCGTCGCGCCGCCACTGTCTGAGAATGGCAGCCAGCCTGGCCCAGGCCGCGACGCGCGAAGCGCCCTTCGCGCGCCCACGGGTGACCCGGTCGACTGACTACGTCGCCGGTCCACGGCCCAGCCCATCCCGGGCCAAGGATCGGCGCATGCGCCCCTCTGGCGCGGCCAGGGAGGCGTGAAGACCGATCCTGGGCCCAGGATCGGGTTGGCCAAGATCGGCGAGAGGTGGTCAGTTGTCGTCCCCAAATCCCCGACGTCGTGATGTGTTCACAACACGGACCCCCAGAGGTCTAGCCGTCTAGCGCCCTTCCCCGGGACCGGTTTTGCATCCCGACTCGTTGTTGGACGGCCCTGGGCCCGGCGAGGGTCCCCCGAGGCCGAAAATTGCCAAAAACCCTCCCGCGCGGTTTTCATCACGAGAAAAGGTGAAGGTAGCCCGATGCCTCACCAACCCACCCAGCCACTGCTACTCCCTTAGGCGGCAAGCCGCTGCAGGCTGCCGAGGGCCGAACACGTCGTCCGCAGCGGCGGCGGGCTCGCAAGGCTCCCCAGTGGCGGGGTCAACTGGCAGAGGGTCGAGGGTTATTAGAGGGAGGACGAAGACGAGATTACGATGAGGGTAGGGATGAAGGCGAGTACGCGATCGACGAGGGTAGAAGAAGGAACGTAGGAGGAGGAGGAGCGAGGGTTTTTTTTTTTCCTCTGCAATCCCAGAGGGCAGGACCGATGCTAATGACTTAGCGGCCGCGACTGCGGCTTCGAGAAACATCTCGAGGGGCTGCTGCCCTCGCAGCAGCCTCCCGTGCCTGAATACGTGCCACGAGAGCGAGCATGCCTGGCGTCTGAGGCAGGGACTCCATCCCGCGTAGAGGCTGACGAACTTCAGGCGGAGGCGGCAGGGCCGCCGCATACTGCATGTAGGCCGAACCGCGGCGGCTCGACACGCTGAGACGTGACCCCCCCTCCCTATAATGAGGGTGCTGGCCTTCAAAGATGCGACGGAGGGTCGTGGGGGCCCCCGCAAGCTTGCGCAGCGGACAGTCACGGCCTAAAAGGTAACACCTCTTGGCCGTGTAGGTCCCACAAGTAGTACAGAAAAACATGGTGGACTCAACCTCGTTTTTGGTCACACGCGCATGCGCGAGCGTGTGGCCTTTACTGAAGTCGAGGACCCCCCGCCAGGTCTTGCTGGGACCAGGGCAGCCGATCATGGGTCTGGTGGAAGGGTCTTTCCAAAAGGCAAGGCATCTCAAGCAACGCGCTCGTCCTTCCTCAAGGGGCTCCCACGCGTGCCAGCCCCCTGATTTGAGGAAGCGTGCGCGAGGGCCCGAAGGAGAGCGTTCAAACCGTTCGACCTCGAAAACGCACAAAACTTTGGCCAAAACTCTGGCGGCAAACTTCAGCTTGACTAAATTCGAATCGATGATGTCCGAATTCACGTTCGAGGGACGGGGGTGGAGGGAGAGGGCGTGCTTGGCGAGCGAGTCGGCGAGACTGTTGCCAACGGCGATCCTCTTGTCCACGGGCGAGAGCGAATCGATAACCTCTTTCGACCGATGCGCTGGTGTGTGCTGCACAACAATGTCATGATCACGTTTTTCATGAAGCAGGGCCCCTCGTCGCATTCCTGCGCAACGGTGCTTGGCCGACGTCTGGTGCGTCGGGCTGGAGAGGCAGAGCTTGACCACAGTCATGCAATCACTGATACGAGTACCCGTGTACTCTACATAGATGGGCAGGCAGGCCATGGCTTGGTGCTCGGCTGCCTGCGGCGTCTGGGGAAGAACGCCCCACACAGTTCCTCTAGCGTAGGCCGCAATAGTTTCACCTGGGCCTAGGAACACCCAGGCATAAGAAGCGCGGCTAAGTTCGCGCACCGAGTGACGGAGACAGGATCCGTCCATACAAACTTCGCACCCTCGCAAGTCGACGGAACCCCACGCAATCTCGGCCCCCTCGGCCGAGTAGAGGGTGGGGGCGGGGTTGTTAGACGGAGGAGGGTGGAGGGTTTCGGGGTGTTCGAGTTTAAGCTCATCCCATAAAAGCCGATCTTCACTTTCCAGGGCCTCCTGTAACAGCTCTAGCTGTTCCCCAACAGCTTCGGCACGCGCAGCCCGTGCAGTCTCGTGCCGACAAAGCCACCCGCGGTGTCTGATGCTGTCGACCTCACCGCACAAGGGGCATCTACCATCGCTCTGGTATCCTGCGGCGCGAGCTCGCGCGCGGGCCCAGACTCCGCTACAAAACACTGAGCTGGCAAGGTATTTTCCCGATCGCTCAAAACCTTGGACTTGGGCCCCAGGAGTTTTTGCAGCGGGTCGAGGGTCACACGAGAACCAGGAAAATTCAGGAGATCCGAAGCCAGCTTTCGTTCAAAACTGCGCTGGGTGGCCAACCTAAGCAAATGACTCACCATGCTGGGGGAGTTGAAACCTAGGTGCACTTCGCGACCGTAGTCATCCTCCCAAGTGAGAGCAGACGTGGCGCACCAGCCCACACGAAACAAGCACAGATGCATTCTCTGGATGGGCCCCCTCGAACTCTTCCAACACACATCTTGGTCGAAAGGCACTCGGCGCCACATCTGACAAACTTCCTTGACCGAATAATACGAGGTCGAGGGAGAAGTGATGGCCGTCCAAACGATAGTGGCCCAATGAACCGCAGGGGCCACGCTCGCACGATCAACGGGGTCTCCGTGCAAGGCAAGTTTAGCCGTGAGGGAGCAACCGCGGTGGTAGGGGGGTTTGTAGGAGAGGAGGACGCGTCTGGCCTGAGACAGTTCCCAGTCGCTCAATCCTACAACGGACGCGCCGAAAGTAGCAGCAGGAGCCACGCCTGCAACATAAATCTTCCCGATGCGCCCCTTCTGTCGTGGAAGTCGGCTCCTCATCTTCTGCAACTTCTTGTGACGCTTGAACATGGAATCAAAACGAGATCGGCGTTTCCAAAGGGCATTACGAGCCGACCTCGCCTGACCAGGGGCAAGATCAGTGCCGAGAGACACGGTGCTGTTCGTGACGAGGCCAGCCTTCTGTCCGAGAAGAGTGCCGAGCTTTCTGACCAGCGAAAGCGAGCTTCCGAACGTAGTTAATTTATCCGCCTGAAGGCCGACCTTCAAACTGTCGCGAAAAAAAAACATACATGTGCGCACAAGCCTGGACCATACGACTGAGGGCCTCCTGTTCCGTATCCGCCTGCGTCGTCATAGCATCGTCGTCGACGTAGGAGGAGAGAGGGACGAGGGGGTTGGCAAGCGCGTAGCCGTCGAAGGCCTCGAGGCTGTGCACACGGACAAACAGGTCGTTAAATCCGTCGCCAGCGGGCAGGCCCGACGTGGCGAAGTAGGGGATCGTGCCATACATGCTGCCGAGCCTAACGATTCGGGGTCCTCGCCAGAAGTTAAACGCGGTTTTAACGATGACTTCCTGGAACCCAAACTTGAGAGCACGATCCCTGAGCAAAACTAAATCGAAACTTTCGTAGTACTTGGTTCCGTCCCAAATAACCCCGAGAGAGATTTGGCCCGTCTGGGCCGCCACTTCGCAGGCAGCCGCCTGATGCCACACGGCATCCTCGGGGCTGCGGCCAGGACCGAAGGCCCAAAAACGTCGGGGGAAACGATCGTTAAAGTCGGTGAGCCAGGGCCTGCGGAGCCGCTCCCAGACACGAACGGGCCCAGCGCATAACAGTATGGGGCGGAGCCCACCTTTGGGTTTCTCCAACAAGGGGAAAAGTAACCAGAACAACTGTTTGGGGAACAGTCCCAACGATTCAATAGCCTGGACTAGGGCGCCGAAGGTGTCGAGGGCCGCATCCGAGACCAGAGAGAGCTGCCGCGGGTGTAGCCCGTCGAGCGACTGCGAGGTGAGCGCCGAGAAGCTGGCGCTGGCGCTGCGGATATCTCCTGCAGTCGGCCGCGGAAGATGATTCCTATTGGGAACCCACACGGTGGACGGCGCAGTGCCGGCATGCCAAAACCTAGCCAGCGCCTCAGGAGGAGCGAGGGAGGAGCGACGAGGGGCGAGGAGCACAAGGGGGTCCAAGTAATACCCCATGCACCCGAAAAGCTGGCATCCGTGAGAAGCCTCTATAGCGGAGGCTACCAAGAGAGAGATGCGACACACACTCCTCAAGTTACACCGGCCACTCTTCAAGATACGGCATCTCATACTTGGTTACTCCTGCAAGATGGGCAAGACAAACATCTGATGCCCAGCCTTAGCCGCCGTGTTATATCCCGTGCTCTGCCTTCCAGGAAGCAGACATATCCCGCGGTGCGGCTTCCAGGGAAATAACTACGTAGTACGTAGTCAGCGCATGCCGCCGAACGCAGGACCCCCTCAATCCAGAAGCGGGATCATTCCAATGCCCAATGCTACTCTTCCAATATCGCCCAGCCCGCTACTAAGTTCGATTGCATTACCCCCGGGCCGCATTCCCTCGGCCCACATTGGCCGCGCGGCACGTAGATGCACAAGGACCCGAGAGGCATCCTGGGGGCCCCAAACAAAACAATTTGAAAATGCAGCGCGGTGGCGGCGCGCAAAAGGGCGGCGGCGCGAGGGGGGGCGGCCCTCCAGGCAGGCGGGGGGGGGGGGGGGGGCACGTTGGCTTAAGCGTCACAGCTGTGCTCATACTACCTCGGAGGCAAAACAAGAAACTCAAAACCTGAATTCAATCTGTCCTCTCCACGGCGCAATTCTCTGTAAGCGCCGTTCACGGGCAATGGCACGGTTGGTCGCAATCCGTGCTAGTTGCTCCTCTGCGAGGGAGGGAGGCGGAGGAGGAGGAGGGACCACAGACAGAGGGGGGCGGGCCTCCTCGGCGCCCTGGGCGGCGCCGGCCTCTGAAAGCCTGACCTGCTCCGCGGGCGCTGCGGGCGTCGTCTCTCCCTCTGTCGGGGGCGACGGCAGCGGCGGCGTCGACAGCGGCGAGGACGGCGGCGGGGAGGTGGGAGGAGGAGGGCCGCACGAGAAAACATGCCACCTCTCAGGCTCATCAGATCTAGAGGTAGATGAAACACCTGCAAAGTCTGGGGCGATCTCGTGGGGTCTGATCGGGTCCCAAGGTACATGTAACTGCTGCAGCTGGTGTCGGATCTCATCAGACTCACCAACGTCGTCCCAAGACATAGATTCGTCCAAGAAACGTGTACAAGCGTCAACTATGCTCCTTGCCAGAGCACGACACATGTTGCCAGGATACGTCTTTTTCTGTGCTGTACGGAATCTCCCCTCGTTGTTTTTCCCCTGCAATATCATGTGGGAATTCGGAGGATGCGAGCACCTCCCTTGCAGCTCTGCGTAGATGATTGGCATGCGTACAGCGAGCACACGTGTTGGCGCCCTCCCGAACGTGCTGGGGTCGCCTTCATGAAAACAGCACTGGTCGAAATCTACTGTGGTGGCGCACGGTGCAGAGGCGATGGCACGCGCTGGCGGCCACATGAAAGAGGTAGGTGCTCCATTCCTCCAGACTGCTGGCGTGGGATGCTCCATCCATGCAGCTGTGCCCGCACGGAGATGAGCTCCCATGAGGTGTAGCATAGCATGTAGTAGCTG